ATATTAAAAGTAAGATTATTATTAATATTTATAATAAGTCTTTTATAAATTACTATCTAATATATAATATTTCTATTATTAAATAATTATATTAAGACCTTCTAGTTAATTATAATATTAAAATAGCTAAGGTAATTATAAATAAAGAATTTTAGTTATTTATAAATAATATATTTTTTAATTTAGAAATTTTTAGTAAATTAATATTAGAGATAATTAACTTAATTTATATTTATAAGCTTAATAATAATAATATTAAGGTCTACTAGTAATAATAGAAGCTAGTAGTAAACTTTATTAATATTTTAAAGGAAATTAATAATATAATTATAATATTTATATTATTAGCTTTAGATTTAGTAAACTTTAAAATATATATAAATTTAAATAATTAATATCTTTTTTATTTAAATAAGTTTAGGTAATTTAGTAAAGATATTATTAAAATTACATTTATTTTTATTAAAAAAAAAGTATAGCTAGCTAGGTTTAATATTATAGTCCTACTAATAATATTTTTTATAAATATTAAAAGCTAATTTAAAGTTAAACTATTACTTTTTATATCTATTATAAAATTATAGTTACTCTATATTAAAAGCTATATAGAAATTTTTTATTAAGTTAATATCTTCTTACTTTAATATTAGTTAATTAAAAGTAGTAGGTAAATTAATATAATTAAGTTTAAGGTTTAAAATAATTAAATTTTTTAATTTTTAATTTTATCTTTATTTTTATTTTTATTTCTATCTCTATTCTTAATACTAATTTTATTATTATTAATATTAGAAGAAAGAATTTCTAATATTTTTAATATTTTTAAATAGGAAAAGATAAAATATTAGTAAATAAAAAGAACTAATAAAATTAAAGAAATCTAAAAAATTTAAAAAACTAAGAGATAAATATATTATTAATAATAGAAGGGATAATAAAATAAAAAAGTAATTAAATATTTAAGAATAAGTAAATATAGATAAATTATCTTAATAATTATAATAGAAAGTAAGTTTTTTTATAAGTTTATTAAGATTAGCTTAAAAAAGAAATTAAATATAAATAGCTTTATATTAGCTTTAAATATAAAATTTAAGTTTAGTATTTAAGTTTTTATCTACTATCTTATTAATATAGTATTTATAAATTTCTTATATAGATATATTTTAAGATTTCTATAAAAGATATTAGAAATATTAATAAAAATTATATTAAAAAAAAGTTAGTAAGTAATTAATATTATTATTTAGATAATTAGTTCTTTATTTTTAATAAAGCTAGTAAATTTTCTAATAAAGGTTTAATAAAGAGAATATAGAATTTAAGATTTTATAATATTATTTTTCTATTTTATATTACTTTAAGATATTAATTTACTTTTATTATATTTAAGCTATAGTTAGTAAATCTTAACTATTAATATTATAATAAAGATAGATAAACTAATATCTTAAAGTATATATAAGCTTTATAAAATAAAGTTAATTAAGAAGTTAAAGTTAAAAAGTTAATAGAAGAAGTTAAATAAAGAGCTAGGGAATTAATAGAAGACTTTAAAAAAGTAATTAAAATTAAGGAGTTAATAGAAGATATTAGGGAAGCTAACTAAGAAGCTAAGAAGTTAATAGAAGATATTAGGAGGTTAGTAAAGGGGTTAGATATTAAGTTAATAAAGGAGCTAGATAAGTTTATATTAGAGATAGATTTATTTTTATAGATTTCTTTTTTCTATTTTCTATTTAAGATTAGATATTTTTATAATAAAAAAGATATATTAATATAAACCTAGTTTTTTACTTTTTAATAAATTAGTTAAAGCTTTACTAATAATAATATTTAATATATTTTTATATTATTTTAAGATTATTATTATTATTAGTAAAAGTTAGTTAAAGTTAATCTTAGTAGTTTAGAGGACTTAGAGGCTTCTCTAAAGATATAGTAATAGTAAAATAAGAAATTTAAAAAATTTAAAAAGTTTAAGAAGAATTAAAGAAATTTAAAAAAAATATTTTTTAAAAAGGAAATTTAAGATTTTTAGGTTTATTTTATTTTTAATTTTTACTATAATTTATAATAGTAGAAGCTAAATCTAATTTAGGAAGGTATAAGCTAGTATTAATTAAAGTTTAATTATTATTTTTAAAAATATTTTAATATTAATTATAATTTAATTATAGCTTAGTTACTTTTTACTTTATTTTTTATTTATAATTTAATTATTATTTAATTATAACTTAATTATTATTTAATTATCTTTATATTCTTTTAAAGAAGAAGTTAAATTTTTTTAAATATAAGGGGGGGTTCCCCCCTTTTAAACCCCTCCCCTAACCCCTATAGTAGTATATTCTAGTACCTTATTTAGAAGCTAAAAAAGTTACTATTAGAATAAAATTATTTTAGAAGTAAGTAAAAAGTAGTTTAAAAATTATAGAGAAAAAAAAGTTAGTAGTAAACTAATAATAGGCTTTTTAAAGAAGATAAATATATTAAAAATTAATATCTATATTATAGTATAAATATTATTAATTATAGAAGAATAGATTTATACTACTAGTAAGGAGTAATAATGATATATTTTTATAGAGTTATTACTATATTCCTATAACTATAAGCTAATAATAGAAATTAAAAATTTTTGCTATCTAATTAGTAATTAGTATAAAATAAAGTAGTCTGTGCTATCTTTTTTTTTTTCTAGTATGGGGAGGTATGTAAAAGATTAGAAAAGGGGGGGGTGGGGGACTAATTTGAACTTGCTCAAGCTGTGCTTTCCCTATATACTGTTCTTCGAAATCTATGAATTCTCTAATATTCCTTGGGAAAGCTTTGCTTTCCCGATAAATATATATATATATATACTCTTTCCCCAGCCATCATTGACTATCGAGCCATCAATGTTCTCTCTTGGGCTCAACTGGGTTCCGCAGCGGCAACCTAGAATACAGTATTGCCTCGCAAACTGTTTTTTGGTGGCGCAACACCGCCGGTATCACAGACTCATCTTATTAAAAACTCGCACCAGACCCAAGTGTAACAGGTATTTGCAAGCCACCGCAAGCCTATATGTTCTCTCCTCTCGAATAGGCCGATATTAAACTCTAGGGAGGACTCGATCTGCCTCGTCAGCAAAAATGCCTGCCAAGAATCGGGCACCGGCACAACCGGTGTAGACTCCTTGAATTAATCAGGAGATTGTTGGACCGCACTGCCTTTGATTAATCGGTCACGGTCTGCGGTTTCGAGTGGCAGCGAAGTGAGATTGCTCCTGTTCGACGGATCCAACAACCATCAAACAAAAATCATCCTAAGGAGCACCTATACTGCTCATAGGCAAAAACGACGTCTCGGACTGGGGACAAGTACTATTATTAGCCTGTGTCGGGTCTACCCGACACAGGACGGAAATTCGGGAAACCCAAGAATGCCAAGATCCGTACCCCAGTTGGCTTTGATCCTCGGGTCCTATCCTCGAATAAGATTAGCGCTTGAGCGGGCACTGGCTTGCCTGTTCCGACGATGAAAGACGATGAAAGCCTCCTCCTTGGTGGCTGTTCATGTGGCTTCGTCCTTGAACAACACGATCTGGGAAACACGTACACCAAAGAAATTTATGCTCATATTTCGAAACGGCCCGACTTTTTTTTACGAGTTGGATCAAAATATTACTTGGCTTCTGGCTGAAGGAAGTTTGACTCATTCGAGGTCCGACGAACCAGATGGTCTTACAAAGTGCCCATGCCACAGACAAGCGGGCAACACGAACGCCGCAGACACAGAAGTGGGTCGGTCTCCAGACTTCGCCCCTACATATAGAACCAGAATCCAGATCCTTTTAACGCCGAGAACCATCGAGAGTATGAAAATGGCATCAGGGTTAACAATCGAAAGGCAGAGGAAAGTTGACCAAAGAAAATCATTCGGATGGCATATATATAGAGTCTCCCGTTCCCTTTCAACGTAGAATTATCCACTTCAAATCTAACGTGTCGAAAACTGCAAGCATCTCCGCTACACTCTCTATCGCTCAACAGTTACCTTTTCCAGAAGACCAAAATGTTCAAGTCTTGCTTTCTTTCTTTCCTGGCCTTATTTACCCTCATTGCTGCCATTGCAGCCACCCCCATTGCCCAGGACATCAACCTGGACGAGAACCCTTGGGAATTCGAGGACGACGACGTCTCCCTAGACAACAGCACGGAGCCCCATCTCGTGGCTCGGGACCCCAAACATTTCAGAATCTTCCGAGTGCGTTTCTACACCCAGTCCTGCGGCATCAACGGCGAGAACTGCGTCGACGCGAGCAACGACATAATGAAGATCCACACAGACTGCAATGGTGGCAGCTGCAACGGCGAGAAATGGTTCGAATACGACTCCGAAAAGCGCCTTTGCGACGAGGAATTCAACGTCTGCGGCACGAAGTACTGGATCAAGTACACTGGAAAGGAGTGGAGCTGCATGAGGCTGACCCTGTTCGCCAACATCAAGGGCTCTCACCATGGGGAGACATACGGTTACTTGATGCGGGGCCAGGAAAAGGTTGGGACTTGCTATGTTGATACGAAGAGGTGGTACGGCAAGTCGTGCAGCGTCTTTGGTTCTTCGGACTTTTGGTCCGTTGTGCAGTGTTTCTTCGATTAAGCGATGTCCGCTAAGGGCGGAATACATGGGAATAATAGATCTTGTTACGACGAGACGGACAAGAAGGTGGAGGCGCATTTAGGCAGGTTAATTGGAAGGAGGCCTCACTGGGTTCTGTAGCTAGTCGCTTCCGCGTGTATAACTAATGCCACTGGACGCGTGTCCCTCGATCTGTTTCCGAGCAACTGGTGTAAGTGGATGTTGATACCGCACGTTGGTTAAGCTGGGGAAAGTGGAAGGAACGATTTTGACATCATTTGAATTCCTAGAGGTCATAACCGACACATCACGATATCCGATGAATACTCGGGCGGCCAAAATTCCGAGTTGTTTATGCTGTCAACAACACGAACATGTCCACCAACACCACCAAAAGGGCAAACCAAACATTGTCCCAACACCATCCCAATCATGCCGACCCACAGTTCGTACATTCCACACAAGCGAGACACAGCTTTCTTATTACGATGGCTGATTCAAACCTCAAATGCGATCATTAGATCCCAACCAGCCATCAAGGAGCCTCCCAACCTCCCGACCATAAACCCCAAGCAAAAAAGGACTGTGTCAGACGTTTTGGAGATGGCAGAGATCATCGCAACCATGTTCAACCAGTACATCCAAGCGTTTTTCGCCTCTTCGAAACAGTGATAATTGCCCGCACAAACGTATACCACGACTTCCAGCGCCTAGCGGCCTTTGACCCTAGAATAAGGGAGGGTAATTGCACCCACAAATTCTTTATCGACACATTGTCGAAAGCGTATGAGATCTTGGGTGGTGACCGATTGACGACTTTTCGAACCGATGTCAAGGACGAAGCCACAGAGAGCACCTGGGAGATGGTGTCAGAAAACAGGTTTGCCGTGTTGGCTCTAGGTGATGAAGAGGACGACCTAGATGAACCAACAGCAGAAGAACAAGCCACCACTGATCCTTCGACGCGAACCAGGACAAAGTTCCGGCCTAGCAAGGGCAAGAGTAAGGGAAACAAGGCGAGGCGGCACTGGCCGGCAAAAGACGACCACCCCAGAGTCGAGTGGTGGGCAGACGACCTTGCCGAGTTACCCAGCGAGACATTCGGCCATCACCACGTCCTTGATCAGACAGACCGAACCGGCCATTTTATTGACTTGAGCCACTACAGTTTATCTCTCGCTGGCTGGACAAGAGACTCGCCTAAAGACATCACAGCATAACTCCTAGAGATACTAAAGCTCGGCCTCTGTCGCGGAAGACCAAAGAGCTTCCTATTCTATACCCACGCCCAAAAACGTCTCCATTTCAATGGAGCGAAATCGAAACTACCTTCCGTGCGTGAAATGGCAAGCTTTACATGGCAACAATCCAGTATCGGTTATAGCTGTGGAGGACTAAAGTTGTATCAGGCGGATGAGAGGGGATGCGGAGGAGATTGATTGCATAGTTACCATGGAGAAGCCTGATAGAATATAGCTTTCCACGCTATGTAGGTCAAAGAGGAATGGTGCTACTGATAAAATGTGAGAGTATGTTAATAAAGAATGCTTACCCTACTATCGTAGATGCAATATATAGCTATCCTCCAAAGATGCTATCGTGAGTATGCCTGTTTCTCTTCTTCCTCCTGGGCGCCCGTAATATTGACGAGAAAAGCATGGCCCTGCGACTGAAGTTCTAAGTATCCGAAGCTTGTCTCGGAGTGGGTGTACGGAGACACTTGCGAACAAACACCCTGGAGTTCCGTTATTTCTCTCCAAACAATTTATCTTCATATGCGAATATATCCACCGCGAAGGGCGGGCAACATGTAGCGGCCCACTGACTCGAGGCATATTCTCGGAAACTAGAGTTCTGCTAACCCAGGCGGGGACTTGGTATTTTCCGCTGCTTGATTTGATATTTCATTTAGCCTTCACGGCCGGCAGTTCGAATGGGAGGGTACTGGTTTATCTACCGGAGGGCTTTCCGATCTCTTCCTTGCGCCGTACTCCTGGGATTGAAATTATCCTACATTATCCTTGAGTTAAACTAGATCGTCCGTTTGGATCAATGGCTTCCTTTCTCGTCCTAATTTTCTCTGTTCTGGCTGTGGCAGTCGGTTCCGTCCAAGCAAGATTGTGAGCTCTCTGCGTTGCAGGAGGCTACAGAGTCCTACCTAGAGACTCTCGAGACGGGTTAGGCGGGACCCAAATCCGTTATACCACGGATCTGCTCTGGCCGTCTCCCTCGTGGACATGATTGCTACCACTACAGGCGGCTGGCTCTTCAACGCTTCCAAGATTCTAGAGTACATCAACCGAGAAAGGTGGGACCCGATCGCTGCCGAGGAACGCGACTCTCGCAAGGCCCTAAAGTAGGCGGCCGATGCCCACCCCGATTTATGAGGCAACCCCGATGCTCCAGTTCCGTGCGGTGAACCTTGCACCAGGCTTGAAGGAAGCGCTTACACTGCCAAGGGAGAACCGACAGATTCATGCCTCGTGGGGATTCCCAGGAGAGATCAACCGCCCGTGTCGGGCCGGCGCCATATTATTGACGGGGCTGCCGGATGGATTAACGTCCTTTGCGCGTTTGAGACGATGAGAAGCGCGCCTGATAGTCACGAATTTCGTCTGGAAAATGGGAGGCTACGGTATGTTCATACTATGACGGTGATGCAAGACCTCGATGCTGGGGTGGACGAGGAATAGTGGCCGGTGAAAACTGTGAGAACAAGTCTGAGAATATTCTATTCCTTTGGGTTGGGGAGCTTAGCGAGATACAGAACGACCATTCAATCTCGGACTCTGACAAAATGATGTTCATGTTCCCTCTAGGCGTTGTAGAACTGTCCAATGCTGCGATTCACTTCGAATTCTAGTGGTACCAGTGAAATTTCATTGACAAATTCGGGGTCAAACTTCTCCAAGCAGTAGTGTGCAATCATGTCCATCCCTGCGGCTGGTTAAACTTTCATGCACATAGAATCGGGGCAGAGTTCAAAACTCACCGGCACCGGCTCCTCCAGATGTCCACAGCTCACCCTTCCTATCCAAACCATCATAGGGCTTCTCATCTACGACCCATCGTTGATCAAGCCATTCAACTTCGGGATGGAGCTTTCGCGCCATCGGGAGGGAGCCCCTATTCGTGGTAGCCTTGCTCCCCTTCAAGACGCCGGCCTCTGCAATCCACATAGCACCGATGCAAGTGGTGAACCAGACCGGGACCTTGGGGTACGCCTCTTGGATGAACTTGGTCGCCTCCGGTGTGCGCGTCGAAGGAAGCGAACCGCCGGTAAGAACGATGTCGAGATCTCGGGGACAGTCGTCGTAGGTGACATTGGGCTTGATCATGACAGACGGCGTCATGAAGGCGAGATCAAGTGTGGTGGCTATGTAGAAGAATTCCATGGGAATGGCCTGTTCTTTGTATTTTTCTCCGGAAGGGTCCAGTGAGATTACGGCGTTGATGTACGTCTCAGAGAGGTTGCCGAGGATGTCGATGCCCATGATGTCGCTCAACTGGACACCTTCCATCATGACGCCGATGCGAAGCGCCTTTTTGGTGGTTGGGGAGCTCATATTTGCAATGATTATGGGATGCGAAGATGAGGAACGAAGAGGACTGGTGTTGCCTGCATCAAAATTTCGCCCAAGATGGAGGTTGGCGACGCTTGTTAAATAGACTCGAAACTGGTGACCACCTTTGTTTACGTTCCGATCCTACTCGGGGACAAATCATTCATTCAGGCCTGAATCTTTACTAAGACCGCATCTTGCCAGCACTGACGGGAGACGAAGTTGATAGTGACCAGTTGGATTGGGTCCAGTACGGCTCGTTCTATCGGTGCAAAATGAGCCCGAGACTGGGCTAAAAAATTATGCAGCTCCGAGATGCATCGGAACAAATGTCCGCTCATGAGTCGCGAGTACACCCGAGGAAGCCTCTGGGGCACAGCGGAGCAAGCGGAGAGACCGATTCTCCTCACCTGGGCTTCAATTCCATAAAATGAACTACCAGTGTGCTTGGATGCCGATTTACCCCTCCGCATCATAGCGGAAGCCATATGCAACTCGGAAAAGAGAACGCCTTCCAAGCTGTTTACCTTCAGTAGTGGGAGTAAGCGAGTAAACCGGCTTTCCCGCAATAAGACCCACGAACCCCCCCGTTGAATGTGTTCTTCAACTGCGGTCTTGTCTTGTTTGTTCTTGTGCGTCATCCTGGCTGGACTCTTTCTTCCCCTGGGGTAATCGATGCCGAGTGGTCATTCCTGTCCAAGTTCCTTCTCCATCTCCACAAAACACAAGTCATCTGGGAAAGTCCTGCCATCCACGTGTCGGGGTCGAAAAGGCGTCAACTCGCCCGTCTTTCGGTAGCCGCAGCGTATATACCAGGCAATAAGCTCCGGGCGCATCGAAAGGGCATTCAGTTCGGCTTTCGTAGCTCCCCAGGTTGTTTGGCAGTAGTCTTCGGCATAGGTCAGGACTCGGCGTCCGATGCCCGCGCGATGATGATGTGGGTCGACGGCAATCATGGAAAGACGAGCAACTTTTGGAATGCGGTTCCGAAGACCAATCGTGGCGACGATTGAGTCATTATTACCAGTAGCGATTAAGATCGCGCTGTCGGGCGTCGTAATTTGGGCGGCAATCTCGTCGGTGCCAATGCGAAAGTGCCTGGAAATCTCCATGTCCCCTGTCCAGTCTTGTCTGCTATCTTCGGCACGGAAGGCATTTTGTATCAGGGTTTGAGGTTGGGGGACATCGTCGAGAGTCGCGACCCGGAATCGGAGGTTAACGCCTGTTGCCATTCTAGTGTGTCCTTTGCGGCGCTGGAGCGGGTGAGGTGAGGGTGTTTAGGTATGGAAAGATTGTGAGATTGACAACGAGTGAATTTCCTCACTGGGGGCCGATATACCATATATTTTTATACATTTTCTTGTCTTACGCCCAGGGAAGGGCGTCATCGACGTGCAAATGACATGGCTGACGCCCACCCAGGGTCTTGGTTCCTGAATGCCCGATCCTACCACGGAATCCGAGACGAGGATGCTATTGGTTGGTTATTCATGGCTTCCTTCTTTCTGCTCGCCTCATCTCGGGACTTTGGCATCTCTCTTTCCTTGTTCAGATTGACCCCGGCCCCAGGCAACCTTGCTTCCCGCCTTGCTCCACTGAATCATTCTTCAACTGAAATGCGGATATGTCTGTTGACGGCCCCGGCCGGCCGGCCTGAGCTGCCGAACTTCGTGACAAATAGGGTACCGCGTTTCTTCATCCTCAAGGAAATTTCCTTCCCTCACAACAACATTTATTCCCAGCTTCCCACAATGTCCTTGGCTCAACGCGATAGCCCAACCGTTTCGATGTCTTCTGATGGTGAAGACCAGCTTTCGCCGCTCCCTTCCATTCGATGCGAAAACATCTTGGAAACACTGCCAATACTCGTGATAGACGGTATCAACCGCCATCTCTCACTGGCCGATGTTAAGAACCTCCGCATGGCTTGCCCGAGCCTAGGAGAGACGTTAGCGTTAAACCAAGAGTTTAGGCGTTGTTTTGCTCATCGCAATGTGACTCTCACTCCCCAGAGTCTCCGAGTCCTGAACGACATCGCTTGTACAGAGCACCTCGCCAATTTTGTACGATCGATCACTGTTACGACGATAGACTACCAGGCCTGGCAAATGCCTGAGGACTTCGTTCTCCCTGATCGCCATAGAATCCCGCCCCCCTACCGTTGGCTACCAGAACTCCAAGTCGAACAAGACAAAATGGCGGCGGATGGAACAGACCTCGACATGCTAACTTCCGCGCTGGCCAAGTTCTCTCGCGCATCTGAAATCAACATAGCCCTTTGGTCAGATCGTGTCGTTCCAGGTTGCTACGGCCCCATGATTAACGTCAAAAACTCATCCGAGAGAGGTTCTTATTCGCCCCCAATTCAACACACTGTCGAAGTCGTGATAAGGGCAATCTGCCAAAGTGGGGCTCAACCCCGTAAACTTACCCTGATGCCGAATGCGCAACCTTCGTGGGCAATTGATGTATTACGACTCCATAGCGTCGTCATGAATCTTCCTCGTCAAAGCCTATTTTACTCTCTTGGGTCCCTAACGTCGCTCAACGTCAATCTCGCGGACCCCGATATGGGCTCAAGATGGTGGTTTCTAATCGAGCCATTTTCTACTATTATCGATTGGACCATCACACCCGAGCCTAATTCCGCTCTCAGAGGTCTTCTCTCTTGTTGCGCTGATACGCTAGAGGAGCTATGCTTGTGCTGGGGAGGCAGAACATCTGACGAGCAGAGCATACGGGCCTTCACTTCAATATCTACACTAAGCTTTCCCCGCCTGCGTCGGTGCACTATTGACGAGCTTGGCGTTTCCGGAGAGGCAATGCAGGCATTTCTTCGCAGTTGTTGTCGTTTAGAAGTGTTGAGGATGCGGTTCTTAACTGTATACCCGGGCCAAAGGCCCCGGGACGCCTGGGGTCCGATTTTTGCCATAATCAGCGGTCCGCGCCGAGAGGTCACGTCTTTGAGGGTTCTGGAGATCGGCGTGCTCCGCTCGGAGGGCATGGTTACTATTGATCGTGGCACGGGTACCATTACGACATCGGCGACATTCTGCGCATCAGCATTGCAATATGGACCAGACCCGTTTCCATCTGAGCCTTTTGTCTGGGGAGTCGGGGAGTAGGGAGGACAAGGCCGCTGTTGGCGGGCTCGGGCCCCTTTTAACGTTTGTTTAGCGACGTCTCAGGGAAAGTTGAGGTTTACGGAGTTAGAGGATAGCATGGGGAATAGGATCATGACTCGGGATATGAAGGCCGAATGGAAGCGGATTGGAAGGGAGGGAAGCAGGGGTCTCCATGATTTTCCTTTCTGATATCGGTCGTTCAAGGTCAGACAGGCGGCCTGTTCTAATAAAGCAGAACGAAGAATGCTGGGTCAAATTTTGCCGGAAACCTTCTGTAACTTGGAAAAGTAAATTGCCAAAAGAGCTTGTGATGGTAGAACTTCCCCTCCCGCCGAAAACACCGAATCAAACTCCAAAATGCACGAGACAGACTGTGCGACATGGGCGATACCGAAACCCCTGCCTCACCGCCAACAACCAGCGACACAGCATAAATAGAACCAATCAAACAGAGCCATGAATCGAGAAAACAGACTCATAATAAAATGGAAAGAGAGCCTTTGCCCCCCAGATACCCAACGTTCCTCATCCTGCCCTTCAAACGCCTTGATATGCTTCGAAGTAGAGTTTCTGGTTTCAGTCCTCTAGTAGCACTTGCATCGTCTAATTGAAAATTGTTAGTCAAAGTTCGTCCTCAGAATGAATGGGCTAGTTACTTACGGGCGACCGACGAACGGGATGTACGGGCCATCGCAATAGCCTCCCTTGTAGCCCTTAATGCCCTTACACTGCATATTTTGCCAAGTCAGAACGCCGTCAAGAACACCAAAAACGCCGAATTGAAGAATACTTACGTGATTGTGGCACTTCTTTTCGTTGCCAGGGCATCCAAAACCGCGCTTCTCCAAGCCCACTGGAGCATCGTAGGCCTCCGGCTCAGGGGCAGCCTCGCGGGCAGCGACAGAGTCAGGAGCAGAAGAGTCAGGGGCGGGAGCGGCCATGGCAGTGGCGGCGAGGATGGTGAAGAGAGCGGTGATGGAGAGCTTGGTGAACTGCATTTTGATGGTGAAGAAGAAGAGGAAGTAGTCGATTTGTGACGTGAGTAATGCTTTGATGTTTGAATTGCGTTTTTTAAGTCTTATTGATGCTTGCTGCTCGGAGTGTCTTGATGAATAGAAAAACAAGCATCTCGAGGGTGAAGAAAGCGGCCTTTATATAGACAAATTCGACTTCATATCTCACGTTTACTATATTAAGAATATCCTTCAAGATTCAGGTCTTTGAAAGTGAAGGCATCTCAGATTTCTTTGGGGAATCATAATACGGATACTGAATCTAACCGACTTCTCTCATGCCTTACTCTCTCACTCCTTTGTTCATTTTGGATAGGTTCCTGTGTTCGATTCGTGCAGATCATCAAGGCACTCGAGAGGATTACGCCGGCTTCAGTCCACAAATGCCCTTGGTGATGTTTTATTACCGTAAGAGTCTCTTGGCAGGGATGATTATAAAAAGAGTTCGGGTAAGAATAGATCAGACCTGCGCCATCCCGCTAATTTTAGAGATATTCATGCAGCTGAACCCCACAAGCTGGTGCTGAGCCTCATCCTGCTGCCACCTTGTTTTCCAGCTTCCCAGGTTTGCTGAACATATAAACATCACGTGATTAAAATGTTGTCGAGCTCTCTAACAGCTGGTCACAGCTGCGCGCCTCACTTCCCAAGTTTTTATGTCCCCGACATCTCCATACCGAAGCGGTGCACCAAATGCCCAAAGGGCTTCGGATATCCCCCCAGGTCGAGTTTAACATTCAAGTGATATCAATATGGCTCATTCCATGTTACCAAAGCAACCCGAAGCACAAACTGACGGATCTCCCGATAAGACATCAAACACAGAGAAGTATTCGACAAACTCTCTGAAGCGCAGGGTCCGACAAAGGAAAATCGAGAGAGGTCTCCCCGTCTCAGATGAAGAAGAGCCGCCCACTTTGGAGGATGGTAGGCATGGCCCGCGAAATTTATAGGCATTTAATTAGTCCCTTCTGACAAGTGGTCTCTCCAAGGTGTTACTATTATCGACCAGATACCTGGAAGGACAATTGCGCTATACCCAGGTAACGTCGCCGTGAAGCTAGGCAAGTCGATCCAGCTCGGAGAAGCGGCCGCGCTCAGAGCGGCACAGCAAGCCGGCGTACCCGTCCCACGTGCTCTTGGGACGGAAACAATCCAAGGCATCAACCACCTCAAGATGGACTTCATTGAAGGCGAGGCGCTTAACAAGCTCTGGCCTAAATTGTCTTCCGAGGAAAAGAGAGACATTGTGCAGCAATTGAGAAGCATCCTCACGACCATGCGATCTGCGACGCCGCCACCAAACTATATAGGGGCATGTGACAACACTGGAATCCGAGAGTCTCGGGTCTACCACCGATATACAGACCCTCCTTGTGTTGACGAGGCTGCGTTCAACCGATATCTTCTTTCAGGCCTCTTCCCACCCACTCCCCAGGCTCTACGGGATGCTTTTGCATCGAAACTGCGCACGAATCATCGAATAGTGCTCTCACATTGTGATTTAGCACCAAGAAATATAATCGTACGGGAAGGCAAGATCGTGGCTTTGGTGGATTGGGAGGACGCCGGCTGGTATCCGGAATACTGGGAGTATGTCAAATTCTTTCAGCGCAATACCGCGGGGGATAGAGAGTGGTGGTCCTATGCCTATGAGATCTTCCCTGAGCTTTACCCGGAGGAATTAGTTGATTACATTGCCCTGTTGAAATGGCAGATGCCTTAGTTAGATCAAGATCAACCCAGATCAACCCAGATAGTAATTTTCTTTCTACCTAATCCTCGTAGTGCATGCCGCCAACAAGTCAATAACGACCCTCAAATAAACAAATGGCCGTTGGCTTGAAATATTCCTGATACAAAAAACATGAATGATATTCATCGCTGAACGAAAGCTTTCCAGTCGTCATCTTCCGCTTCCATTGTGGCATCGACCATCTTATCAAACCCGTTCCGATAGTCCTCCTGACTGATATATCCGTGGGCGCTAAGGTCCTTCAACGCAAACCCCACCCAATTCTGGCAGCTGAACTCGGGATCGTCGTTATTGATCGGGACGGCCCTCATTAAATCGATGAGAAGGGTGGGGGTCAGAGGCTTCTTGAGGTCCGCAACGGGCACTGTCGTAGCCCATCGTGCAGACCCTTCGGGTCTGTAATTTTCACGTACGTGGAAGGCAAATGCCTTGGTCGAGCCGACGACGTCGATGAAATATTCGGATCCATAGGCGTCTCTCGGCTGGAAGTAGAGACCGACGTGTCGTTTTTTCTTGTAGTCTTGGGGTTCCGATCTGAAGATGGCGACGGAGACTGAGTAAATTTTCTGATCGCTCATCTTGGAGGCTGAAGGGGTTCGGTAATGATGAAGGACTTGGAAGGCTAGAGTATGAATCGGGTGGATATGTGGAGAAGGGATTGATCAAGAAGCTTTGGTCTTGAGATTTGGTTCGTGAGAATTGATCTCGATTGCTTCCTCGACGAACTTATAAGCACGAACTCGAGCGCGTAGATACAGGACCGATGGTCCAACACTCCCAAATGAGACTGGGTTATAGGCGGCAAGGTGCCTCCCAGAAAGGAGATACTCCTTGTGCTCATCACCGGCAGCGCTCCAATCCGACTCGCCAGAGCCACCGGGCTGAATCCTTTGAGCCATCGTCGGCCTAAAAATGGATTGAGCGTTTCAACCCTGGTAACCCCGGCGCCCTTCCACCATGTAGCGCGCGGGTATATTGGCCGACGTGATACTCATTGGATATCCACTCGAATCATTCGGTGCCACAACGGAAGAGCCCACCCTATCAGGTGGCCAAGACGGCGTCGGTTCGGGGATGAGGCGAGGCCTGAAACCGGTCGGCCAGGAGATTGGGGGGTCACCCTGGCGAGATCAGGACATAATTGGCTTGTCGAGGTAGGAGGATCGAAGACGAAGGATCTAAATCTGTCCCAGGAGGCAGTGCAGATGTTAATGTGGCCCGCAGATCGAAACAAAAGCTTACCCGCGCGGAAAAAACGAGAATGAGATTGGACAGACAGGAATGGGTCCTGTGGTCACCGAGCACAGACATTTGAGAGCGAATGGTCAAACTCCAGCCCGTCCAATTGGGTTTGATTCACATCGCATAAGCGCTTTCCGATTTAATCACATTTTGGGATTCGGGAGGACTCTGGTTGTGCTTGAATTCGAAATGCCGATACCCAAACTGGCAGCTCATGGTCCGGTCTTGAAGTACATGCATTAAGCAGAACTAAATAACCCCCGGTGTAACGTCTAGCATAAGGCATTCAATACCTAGGAAGTGATTCAAAACTGGTTTAGCTTCCCTCCGCGACTCAAGGTCCAAGTGCACCACCCATAGAGCCTACTGGCACATATTCTACTACAAGATCGTGAACATACTCTTCCAATTCCTGCTCTTCTGGCCACACAATTTCCCCTGATGATTCCCCTGCACGGGGGGCCCAGTCTGGCTCCTCAGGCAAGAGGGTGGCCTCACGAAGAGTAAAGTCCTCCTTGCCGTATGTATACCCATATGCTATGGAGTGAAATTTCCTCTCTACCTGGTCATCGAACTTGAAGGCGAAAGTAGCATGCAAACCCATGGGGTCCAAGCCGCGACGGCCGCCGATTGTGGTTGTTCTGTGGATGTCAGATCTGGTTTACTCGTCCGATTAGCATAGATTGAGTCAACATAAGTGTTGTGGTAAGCTGACTACGAAACCGGGGGAAATGATAAACTGAACCTTATAATGATGGCCATCGGAGCGGCCATCGGAGCAAGTTGTAGAACGCTTACTGTTTCGTAGGCCAGAGTCACGAGTCTTTGTCTCCGCTCTTCACTAATGGTGTTCTTGGAGTAAAAGAAAATGCGGATGGGGTTAACCCCATTCTCCGAAGACATTTTGTGAACAGAGAAGAGAATTGATGGTATTAAGCCGGTTGCGAAAGGTGGTTCTACGAGGAGAAGGGCGTAAAATAATAAGCGGAATGGTCTTCAACAGGTAGTTGGCTAGGGCAGTCTGCTTTGGTAGGATATGGAAGAGAAGGATAGAGAACTACAGGAGTGGGAGATATGCTCTTTAATATTAGGACTGAGCTGTCTGGCTCTGTGCTCGTCATACCGAAGCGTATCTAAGCTCATATCTGGGGCGGCCTAACAATATCAAGAATGACCAACGCAGAGCTCCTCTGTATCCCCACGATGGCGTAGTCTGTAGGACAAAGGGAGGCGCAAGGGGTCATGTGGAGTCCGCCAGGTTGCACGCCTGCGCCCCAAACATACAGTCCGATGCATAGATTTTAACCGGAAAATCTAGCTAAGAGTAGAACAATTAGATATCCCTCAGCATCGTTCTGTGCCACCGCGCAAGAGCCAACCCCATTAGGTAGCCAAGAACAACGTCGCCCCAGGGACGAGCTAGAGGTGAGGCTTCAAACAAGTAGGCGAGGAGATTAATTCGGATTGTAAGAAGGACAAGGCGGAAGGGGAGGCAGTGTTACTGCCAGGGTGGCTTACAGCTCTCGACAAAGCTACTACCCGCGGGCAAAGGACAATGATTAGATTTGACACGGATGTGTGTCTCCTGCGAGCCATCGCACACGAGTGACACAACCGGCAGTGCTGTTGCCCAGCGTCTCAATGAACGTAGATTTAGGCTCAGCATGCCTGTCACTCGCGGGCAGAGCTGCGGACGGGACAGGAAAGAGTTGTGGCTAAACCCGGCGTCGATTTTCATCCGTCCAGACTCCCATAACATAAGCGCTATTCAATTCTATTGTACGATTGTATTTGGGCTTCATACAATAAGGAGCCATGATGCGAGAATTGGCCGCCCGATATTACCTTCTCCCCCTAGATACGTGACGGGCCGAAGGTCTAATCCTCTCAATCACCCCATCCACTTCACCCAAGTTCCCCGCCAGACATTCGTGGGTTTGTTTATTCCTGGACAACAACGATTACAAAATTCGGCAGTTTCATCTGTATCAATGTCTTCAGCAATCCAGTACAACTGGATAGATGGTGCAGAGTCTTTGGAAAACTATACGGTCGGCGGCTACCACCCCGTCAGTATAGGCGACAAGCTTCATGATCGATATCATGTTGTGGACAAGCTGGGTTTCGGCGGATACTCGACTGTTTGGCTCGCTCGAGATCTACTTGCCGGCCGATACGTGGCACTAAAGGTCGGCATTTCGGGCTCACAGGCGCCACTTCGTGAGATCAGCATCATCGAGGCTCTTTCCTCTCAAGTGTCCTCCGACCCCTTGAATACAGACCGAGGATTGCTACCCTCGATTCTCGATAAATTTGAGATCGAGGGACCGAATGGCACCCACTCTTGCTTTACGATGGCTCCTGCCCGGGGCGATTTACGAGAAGCCCGGTGCCCGGGGAGGGGTCTATTTTCCATCGAGGTTGCTCGAGCACTATGTGGCGGACTTGCGTTGGCTGTTGCGGAAATGCACTCTCAGGGTTACATCCATGGTGGTTAGTCCTTTTCAAATCCCTCTACCGACTTCCATGGCGCAAGGTCGATTGCATAGATTATCGAACTAATTTATCTTATCCGGCATTTTCCCTATAGATCTCCATCTGAGCAATGTACTAGTTAAGCTCCCATCCAGCTTTGACGAGCTTTCTGTCGACCAGTTCTACAAAGAATATGGCCACCCCCAGACTGTCCCCATTACTCGACGCGACGGGGAACCACTTCCTCCAAACGTTCCAGAGCGTGCAGTTTTGCCGATCTATTTAATCACCCCTGCAAGAGACTTTACGCTCCCAGATGCCCGAGTCATCCTCAGTGACTTTGGCGAAGCCTTTTCCCCTTCAGAGAGTCGACTCGGCAAGGATTGCCACGCACCACTTCCAATGCAGCCACCAGAGGCTCGCCATGATCCCAATTCGCCATTATCTTACTCTGCGGATACCTGGACACTCGCCCTTTCACTCTGGGGCATTGTTGGCATGAAATCCATATTCAGCGATTTTCTAACGCCCGACGAGCTCGTGGCGGAGCATATCGACATCCTCGGGCCATTGCCAAATCCGTGGCGGGAGGGCTGGTTGGCTCAGGAAGCCGAACGGTTCGACCAGACCGGGCAGAGACGGAATGTCAACCAGAGGCTATGGTCGTCTCTAGAGGTGGCGTTTGAGGAAGGCGTGCAAAAGTATCGCCGGAAGCTCAACGCCGGTGCCTTTGATGATGAAGAGAAAGGGGCCTTCCTCTCGTTGATGCGTCAGATGTTGGTATATCGGCCCGAGGAGAGAGTCTCTGCCGAGGAGCTGTTGAGATCGGAGTGGATGGTGAAGTGGGCAATGCCAGCGTTTGAACGTGGTCTAGGGGAACGAGATGGGAAGAAAGGAAGTTAGGACCGGCCGTTTAAACAATTGGCAGCTAGTTGTAGCTTCAATCATTAGTTACTAAAGAGGTTCCTTTAATATAACTTGAGCATTAAAGTTCACACCACGGCCGCGCGTTTCTCTATCCGAACCCACATGTTCTCAAAGTAACTAACCCCTCCCTTAACAAGGTATTCCGCTGGTCTGTCACGATTTACAACATCAACCTTGAACGATCTCAGGAACTGCAGAGGGGCCTTATACAGCTCCATGCTGGCAATATCCTTGCCAAGGCAACCACGCGCCCCGTATCCGAACGCCATGTTATACTTCTGGAACTCGCGTGCTTTATCAGCATCGAGCCACCTCTCCGGGCGAAACGTGTCAGCATCGTCGCCGTATATGTTGACATCTCGGTGGACGAGCCACGGGTTGCAGGTAACCTCTGTTCCCTCAGGGACGGTCTTGCCAAACAGCTCCATGCCGCCCTCGGGAACTAGACGGGGAAAGATGTTTGGGGCGGAAGGGTTGAGGCGCAGGCTTTCGCGGACGCACGCGATGTAGTAGGGGCAACTAGCTGCGACCTCGTCGTATTGAGGCATCGGCGACAGCTTGCCAGCACGGGTGGCGGCGTCGATCTCGGCCATGAGCTTGTCGTAGACCGGCGGATTCGAGAGCAGATGTAGCATTAGGGCTTGGAAAGCTGTACCGGTTGTGTCTGCACCAGCGAGGAGGACGAGCAGGATCTCCGCTTTGATGTAATCGAGGCTTAGAGGCTTGCCTTCTTCGTCCCTAGCTTCGATGAACCTATTACGAGTCAATACCCATGTCGAGACAACCACCCCGTAATAATTCTGTATTGGAAGACTCAACGTACGTCTGGAGTAGGTCCACTCGTCCATTGGTTGCTCCAGCCTCAAGGTCTTTGAACCGCTGCTCGATAAGCCGATCGCGGAAACGCATGAGAGTCCCGATGCCGGATTCCTGCTCAGGACTAGCAACCATGTATTTGCCGAGGAACGTGCTCTTGATCCAGGTCGTCATGGGGTGCAATCGAGCCATGATGCCAAAAGGTACCAGTCCATCATGGAACCCTTTGATCAGCCCCTCGACATCTTTCCCCTGGGCCACGAAGCCGAACGGCGCGCCGAAACCCACCTCGGAAATAATGTCGTAGGCGACATACACGGCCCAAGGGGAAAAGTCAAAGGACTCCCGGGTGGTGGCGAATTTCTCGTCGAGACGGTGGATCCAGTGCTGGATTTGGGCGTCGATGAGGGGTTCCATCTTCTTGACATTGGTGAAGTTGTACGGGCCCGCTGCGATCTTGCGAAACTTGGCGTGGACGCGGGCGTCCTGCATGTTGAAAAGGGACTCATCCTTGCCGAAGCTCCCCGTGATGTAGTGCTTCGACTTGCTCGCGTTTCTGTTGTAGATGACGGGAAGCTTTGTCGCGTCGCTTACGAGAAGCATGGTCGGTGTGATGCGAATGACTGGGCCTGAAAGGAAATATCTGCTAATTAATGCCTCTCTCTCCCCTCTGTGTTGAATTGGCCGCAGCTTAATACTGGGGATCTTACCATGTTTCCGATGGAGCTCGCGGAAAGTCGAGCACTCGTCTTCTTTCAAGTTATGATATGTGATCCAGAGTCGTGTGACGCTACCCCAAAAAGGTCCGGGGAACTTGGAGAGGGGATGAAAGAAACGATAGTAGACGAGCTGATATAGGATCTTCCAAGTAATGTACGATGTGATGAGAAGGACAAAATTGGGCAAGGTGAGGAGGGTCATGTTTGTCGAATAGACAGGGTGAGATTGATTGGTGTCCACGGGAATGGAGGAAGAAAGGGGGGCCCGGGAACAAAAGTGAAATATTAATATTTTAACCAACCTTAATATCATTACGCCGCGATTGTACTTCGAGGATAAAGAATACTTGCCCCCTTGAAATTATGAAGTTCCACATGCAACACCAGATGTGGCTCTCAACCAGGATAGCCAATAGCGCAAGCTTCATATGAATCATATCACACCAATTGATGCATCTTCCGAGGCGAGCTGATGACATGGATCATAAATATTGAGTTCCAACACGGAGTGGAGGAATCGTGGCGTTCATATTCACTCTCCTTGGCCCTTCTCGATGCAACGCTCTGTTGGTTCTATTCATCCACTGACCCTGCTTGATGCAATGGCATGTTGGTTCAAGATGTAATGCGACGGAACCCGGAACGCCACCCGGCAGGAATAAGACCGCTTCAATTGGTCACATTTGGTAAAAGCGCTGCAAACAGTGGAAGCAGTGGGGGATGGCGCCGTCCACTGCTCCGCTTTGCAGATCCTCGGGGTGTGTTAGATCGAACAAGGCCGACTGCGTTTATGTACCTCACTACCACAGGTATCACGGAGAGATTGTATGCAAGATCCCTGCTGCCGAAAGGATGTGCCCGTCGGAATATGTGTGACCTGTTGGTTCAGCATGTCAGAAGAAAAAACGCCATCCCCGTCCCAAGTTTTAATTATTCGATTCCCTCGTGCATACCAGGTCTTTTCTGATGCCTTGCCATCTCGTTCTCAGTCGACAATTGTTTTCCGTCCGGATCCTTTCGAGAAGCCAGTCGTCTCTGTAACTCTACCGCTAGCCATGGCAGAGACTCAAGGACCAACCGTGGTGGCGGTGGCCATAACCTTCGCCGTCATTTCCTTCGTCACCATATTCCTACGCCTCTGGGCACGCGTCTTCGTTGCTAAGACAGTGGGTGCAGATGATGGTTTGTATTCTAAACAACCTTTCATCCTTGCGGAAGCTCTGACAGTTCCTTAGGACTGATTTGTGTGGCGGTTGTGAGTCTCTGCTCAGAGTTTCATCCTGACAGGCCGGCTGGTGATAATTTTCTAACCGTGTCAAGTTATTATCATGGGCGTTTATTGGATGCACGATTGCCTGTAAGTTTTCTTACTCTTGGGGGATTTCACTTGACTGGGCCTGCCTACTAAACCCATGAGGTAGCCGTCCAATACGGACTAGGAACCCACCTCAAAGATGTCCTCGCGAGAGGGACAGACAACATGATCACGTATCTCCAAATCGTTTGGTTATCCTCCATTTTTTATAATGCCTGCCTCGGCTTCATCAAGTTCTCAGTTCTGGCTTTATACATGCGACTAGGCGATCCAAAGTTAAGGCGGCTGGCAACGGTCATGATGGCCGTCATCTTCTGTCAGGCCGGGGGAAATGTCATGGCCTGCGTTTTCCAATGCTCGCCTGTCAGGGCCGCCTACGACGTGACGATCCCGCTGGTCGACAAAAAATGCGTCAACATCAATGCCTTCTATCTTGCTAACGCAGCCGTCAACATCTTGACCGATATCCTGACATACACTCTGCCCTTCCCTCTCATTGCTCGCCTCCAGGTCCCTCGCAGACAAAAGATTGGCGTTGGCATCATGCTATGCCTCGGTCTTTTGTGAGTCTCGTACCACACCCATTTCATCGTCGGGGGGGCATAAGGATGTGTAAACTAATAGCCGAACCCCTCGTCTACAGTGCTTGCATATCTTCCATTGTTCGAATTACTTACATCCCGCCGATGCTATCGTCCGACGACACGACGTGGGTCATAACCAACGCTATGTACTGGTCCGTTATCGAGATCAACATCGGCATCCTCGCCGCTTCGATCCCATCCTTCAAAGCCCTCGCCGCGAGATACGCACCGCGACTCCTTGCAAGCTACAAAAATACGGGTAGCAACAGGTCCGGCTTCAAGATGATGCGAAGAAACCCAGCCATGGACAATGAAGACACTGAGAGCGACAACCCGGGGGGTCGCAAGGCAGAAGTCCAGACGAGTATTAAAACAGGCCTCGAGGCCAGCAGCAGCGAGGAACAGCTCTTTACTGTGCCTGGGCGCATCAGAGTCAACACAAGGGTTGTCCATTGCCATAGCGTAGATGCCAGGTCTACGAATGGGGTGTAACATCCATAGTTCTGATCTATATATTACAGAATAATAAACCCGACGTATGAAAAACCATGTGCTTTCATACGGTAGATTTACTACTTCGTACTGAATCTGGTTTTCCCTTCATCTTCTGGAATTGATTCTACTCTTCGATGTGAAAAAGGAAGGCTTGCAGCTATTAGTCTAACACAGCTCCCAAAAGAGGCCGCTTGCAAGAAGTAGCAAACGTCAGGTCAGCCGGCCAACTGGATAAAATGACAGAATACACAATACAAGTCCCTCACGAAAGAGGACCTGAAGACGGTCATGTAAGTCTCGCTGTAAGACAATCCACAGAATTACGGATACGGTCTGAAATTTCGTCCGCGGCGGGTGTTACGGAACCGCCAACGACTAAATCAGTCGTTGAAGGGCGGCAAATAATTAGCAGGTTCACGAACTTCCCAGCAAGTGCGTGACAGTCTGTGGCGGCGTTCCATTTCCTATAAATTCCCTCCTAGAGGTCTTGGGAACTAGTTGGTTGTCTTAGCAGAGCGTACACAGGTACAAGTGCTTGAAATGTTATCCAGCAGTATACTTCAACGCAGTTTAATAGCACGAGTTAACTCGTCCCCGGCGTGCTTTAGATCGCATGACGGGTTTGATGTTGTTGGCCAATTTGCTAGATATCGGACACTGTTTCAGCAATATTCGGGATACGGTGTAAGGGAGAGCACCGCTGCTTTCGATAGCAGTCATTGCTGGACTCCCTCGCACCGGATTAAACTGAGGTTGGCGCAAAATACTTAATTGACCCTGGAATGTGTTTGAGTTCAGCTAGTTGGTTGTCTTTGTCAAGGAGAAACATGAACAGCAACGCGCAAAACTTGGGAGAAGGTTCACACTCATACACATATACCGAGCGAAAGCGTATCAGCGGTGCAAACACTGCGAGATCCTAAAGCAATTGTTACAGCAATGCAATTGCCACCGACAAGCTTTCAAGGACCGTCATCAACATCTTGACGGAGTTGCCCACCATTATTACACTGTCGGAGCCGGCCCCCGAATCCGAACCTCCTCTAGAATCGGGGCCGTCCGTAGAGTCGGAATCCACTTCTTCGCCTTGCGCAATAGCGGTGAACGGGTGCCGAGTGGCCGTTACCACGGGATCGCCTTCATATAGGGCCGTCAGAGTCGTTGTACCAACAACCCTGTGTTTGAATGAGTATGAAGCAGTGGTGGACGCAGCACTAGTAGTCGTAACCTGCTCCGCGAACAGCTCAGGATATGCGGATGCCCAGATGGCAGCAAGCTCGTCCATGTCCAGGGCGTGGGAGTGGAAGATGCAGGTTTAGTCGGTGTTGCCTGGGCTCGTTCCTGCAAGCCAGGCCGGGTGGCTTGATCTAGTATATTTGAAAGGATGCTTCTGACTCGAGAGGGATAAACGGTTGGCATTGCTGACTTGGTGGCGGAGGCCTTTGTCCGTGGGCCGGCGGTATTTGTCGGTTTCTCGTCAAAGTAACTTCCATTGAATTGTAAGGCGGCCATCCTGTTTGCGAGCTCCTTACGACCCGTCGCTCCCCGCAGGTCGGGATGCAAGGCGATGTAGGGCTGCTGGAAAAAGTCGGTCACAGGCGGTACTACCCTGTTCTCGGCGGGCAATCGAGGTGGGAAGCCCAGGCCGTCCGGCCGCCGCCATCATCAGCATCGCAACCTATGCCTTGAGCCCACTCGCCCACCACCATGGCGTGGAATGATTTGGTCGTGCATTTCGCCGCTCTTTGGAGCCGATCGGACAATGTGAGCCAATCCCCGGTCCTCTTCACTTTCCCTAGGTTGGCTCGGTTTAATATTGCTACGTGAGCATAATTTTCTGCGAGGATTCCTTCATTGGTAACCTTCTGCACTAGTGGTTTGCGGTATCTGGGTATAGGCACGAGACACTGAGTGCTCTGGAATAAAAGCATAAAAGCACTGCCAAGAAAGGGGCAGAGAGGAGCATGGCGAGGGATGCGAATGGAAAAAGGGGAGGAAAATCACCACGGTCGATAGAACAGGCGGGTCAAGTTGATCCGGTGTAATCTGGTGTAAGACGATTGGCAGAGTGATGTCGTGTCGGTATTAGCGGGGATGGATAAGAGTGGGGGGACGTGAAGGGATTTTAAAACCTGTCAGTGAGTGTAGCCTTGCCTCTCACCTCGCGAGGGAACGTCGCTAAGAATCATGGTACATAGAGTTATTGTTGCTGGGCTCGGGTCCAGGCCGTGACCCACCTCAGCTCCATCGTCACCGAACTGGCTGCCAGAGTCACGCCTCGCAATTGCTAGATCGCAATTGCTCTGTCTTGGCTCAATAACGCATTGACACTAACTACGCACAGCCTCTGTTCATGGCGTCTGACGGCGCATTGATAATCTTCATTGTAACCGAACAATTTTTTTTTTTTTTTTTTTTTTTTTTCTCGGCGCTAGTTCGTCACAGCCCTGCTTGGCAGAGGAGGTGCGCACTTCTACGCAGAAAAGAGAAAGCCGAGTTTTTCACAAGTTCAAATCGGCCCGCGCTTTTCTAACCTTCCATCCGCTTCTCTTGGCGGCCCGGCTGATAGACTACCAGCTGGTTAGGTTCGGTAGCAGCCCACGACAGCTGACCAACAACTAAGTCGGGCCGCCAACAAGATCTGGGGACAGTGCATATCCATTTTTACACACGGTTAATTTCCCAGTCTGCTGGCGCACAATCTTCGATCCACATGCTTCCTTTGACCTCACCCCTAATTTCTACGAACCAGCCTCATTTTTTTCCCCTGCTCTCCTGGTCCTCTGGCTTTCTCCGTGACGGATGCGCGATACGCCGTTGGACAAGAATGAACATGGCGCTATCCGGAATCATATTACTCGTCCTAGCTGTCTCGACGAGGGCCTTGGCAGAAAATTTTCAGGGGCTCGACCTGACTCTTCTCGAAGGCGGTTCTGGTGCAAACGCGCTCGACAAGCGCGCTGATGCCGTGAACGGGACCATCGTCACATATACACTGCCATTCTGCGACAAGGACACGTCCAATCTTGCCGGAGGAGGCAGAACCTGGCCCATCGCCCCGGATACGTGCATGAAAGTATCGACGAGCACGTCGTTCGAGATCCTCGAGGTGCCCAAGTGCGCAAACGGCACCCAGGCGCTCCTGGCCCGGTACGAAGGTCGAGACTGCAACTATGGAGAGGTCACGTTTAGCGGCGGACTTGTTGAGGTGAAGGACAAAGACATCGGGACGTGCCAGACGGTAATGCCTAGGAACTACACCGTCGACGAGACGCACGCGTCGCTTGCCAGTTTCGGCTTCTTCTGCGATGGGAGAACGACCCCGCGTCCGGAGGGCGATGATGGACCAAAAGCGAAGAAGGGTTCCGTCTCGATGAACCTTTGCCCTATCGACGGAAATCCACCCAGGGGAGCACCGACCTGGGAGCACCCTCAGCCGGATGAATGCGTCGTGTCGCTCTCGGGGTGGCAGGCCAGGATATATAAGCCTGCCACTTGTGCCGATGGGAAGCAGGCTAGGTTGGCCAAATGGCTCAATAACCGGTTCTGCGAGGGTCATTACGACGAGATTGTTGATATCACGCCGGACATGATCGAGACCTGCGTTCCGATTAGCGAGGACCATCACGGGAGCTTCACTTTCTATTGCACGGGGGCTGGCGAAGGATGGGCTATACTCAGACAACAATCAGCACTTCTGCTTATCATCTCCTGGCTATCTATATTCCTTGGCGCGAAACTCTTATAGAATCGACGATCACTTATCCCTATCCGCAACACCCACGGGATCTCATCATACGAATATAATCACCAGATCTACATGGACACAACATAATGGAGCAACTATACCCCTAATAATGCATTCGTCTATCGGTATTACGCAATATCTTCATTAACACCTTCTTCGAGCATATTTGGAATCGAAACTGGGAGCATTGGCATTTATCATTAAGCACATTCAAATCGGTCGGGGAGTTGGGTGCGTCCATGCATTTTTCATGCGTACTACCGTTATAGATGCCGAGGTGGTCCGGGCCCAAGCCCAGGAGAGGAGGTCGTGATACTGCTGTTGTTTGATGTTAAACTGAACATGTGGAGGTCACTTGCAGAGTGAGATGTCCATGCCCAAGTCTTTGTGTATATAATGCGCCAAGTTTCATGTAAATGCAGATTTCCACTTGTGAGTTGTATCGATAAACAAAGAAATAACCCAACATCCTGTCCCAGTCACCGTATATCCTGTCGTAGAAGTTTCTATACCCATCCATCTGTCCCTTTTCACCCGCTCGCCACGGCGACACATGTATCATGGTTAACTCCTCTATCATCCTTCCAAACACCGTTTGGCCTGATATCCAAGTCTACTTGAGCTTGACCACCAACCTGCTTCCAGAAATCTCACCCCGCCTCATGAGCTCGAGGCACGAATTGATAACCTCCAGCCCGCCATCGACAATCTGCGTTTCTGGGAGCGTAATGACTCCATTCTTCAGCGAATGGTACAGCCAATAGCTCAACACGCAGCCCAACTCCTCGTTCTCGTGGAACATCTTAACAGGCACCTGGTGAATCCGGACGTTGGGCGCCTTGACCTTGGGTGCGCCCGTGAGGCAGACGAGGTGGCTGAGAGTGCTGCCCTTTTGCGTGAATGGGTCTGGTATCGCGTCGGGGTCGTCGATGTCTGTGGGGTATCGGGAGGACGCGCACGCCGCGAGGACATTTTGGCACCAAGTGGACGTTTCCTTGCCGATGAAGTCCATGGCGAAACGGAGGGAACCGTGCGTGTGTTGTCGGACTTCTGTGGCGGCGAGGTCTAGATCGGCTCGGTCCACAAGGACATCTGGATGGAATGTTAGTGGGCGGCCTATGGGGCTCGGTGGGCTTGCTATTGATCACTTACCAACGCCTAGGGCACGTAACCTCTCACCATGCTTTTTTACATCAACTACTCCGATGATCTTGAGTCCCGTCGCCTTTGCCAGCTGAATACACAGCTGCGCTGTCACGCTTGAAGCTCCGTACAGCAGGATCCACTCCCCCTTACTCGGTCGGCTTCCCAGTGGGATGGGGTTGAAGATTTCCTCGAAGCAGTCCTTGGGGACCATTTCCCGCTCTTGCCTCTGAAGGATGGATAGAAGATCTAGATCGGAGAGTTTTCCTTGCTGGGGGAGAGTAGTTCCTAGACAAACTCCGAGAGAAAGGGCGGCCGTGACGAAGGCGACACCGAGAGACGCGGCTTGGTAAGGATCGATGCCCTTGGGGATTTTTATGGCGTTGAAGCTGCAGACGACAGCATATTCTTGGAAGGCCGACTTTCGGAAATCTCGATAGTCGGTAGCGACAGCTAGTACCTAGTAGAAGAGGAGGTTAGGCTGGTGTAGGCTGGGGGTCGGGCTAGGACATGGGGGTGAAGATCCTTACCTGATCGCCTACGGATATCCGAGATCCCTGTGGTGTGTTCTGCGCGACAACCGTCCCTACAAACTCCCTTCCATTCAAGCATGGAAGCTTTGGTAAAGCGAAACCGAAATCCCTGCAGATGAGAGTATAACAAGTCAGTCATGCTTCATCCCAACCAAGTTTATTCTCGTCATTCCATGACTTGAATGAATACTTACGCTGACTTCCAGTCAATGGGGTTGAGTCCAATGGCCTCAACTTGTACAAGCAACTCTCCATCCTTCAGGTTAGGGATATCCCCCTCAGCGAAGGTCTCATAGGGCGACCGGGGTTGATGCAATAGAAGCTGCGTCTGCACGGTGGGCAGCTTGGGCTGGTTGATTGGAGCCATGTCGGGTACTTCTTGTACAGAAGTGGTCTTTGCGCGCCGTGAGTTTGGGCAGAGGAATGTAAGCCGGTTTCCCATGCGAAGTGACAGAATAGAAAAAGGTTTGCTGGTGTCTTAGTATTAAACGAAAAAGGATGAAGGAGGGGAGGGGGTGTGAGAAGCCGCGTGACAACTTTATGCGTAGGCAGGCGAGGGTTATTGGCGGAAACAAGGAACAAGGCACGTCCCAAGCTCGTGGATCTCGGCAATGGGCCGGCCAGGAATAGTGATTATTAAATGTGATGTGCTCGTGAATCGCAAGATAATCAAGGGCTTGGTTAATGCGTGATAGCATGGGCCAGTTCCACCGAGGGGTCCCCTCGAGAGGGGAGAGATGGAGACGTTGGTGTTTTTTCTCCGTCGGATGATGGGCGTATAGGGTCGCGCAATCGCTAGGGGTCGAAGGCGTCATGGAACTCCGACGCCAATCCCGAATCATTCCCACCGAGCGTGGAGAGGGTCCCCATCTAGCATCTGCCACTCGGCATGCCACGCCAGGCGAGGAGATTTTTGTAAGAGTATTCCCTGTTAAGATGTGGCCAAGGAGATGGATGGTCCAACCGGATATTTTGCCAGTCACACTCCATCTGTTTTTATCCCTTGAGGGAGAATCCAGACCAGATCCCTCCTTGACAGGGTCAGCTTCTCTTGTGCGGAGAGAGCGTGGGGGCATTGCTGCCGAGAAGGTGAGACAACCGCTCGTCATTCTGGTCCAGATTGGACAAGGTCTTAAGAAGAAGATCCCTGAGGAGCCTTACGGAAGTGGTCGGAGCCAATGAAGGGCAAGATGTTAAGGGGGTGACCCCCCGGCGAGTCGGGTTTACATGCCCCGGTCACCCTCCGCCGTTGGCCGGAGATATCGGGCAAGCGAACAAGTACGGTTGCAAGGAAACCTGGGATGATAAGAAACGGAAAAAGAGCCCCGCACCCCACGACAGGCCAAATCGGGCGGCTCAAGAACCCCTGTTCCTGGACTTATAAACTATCACACACCTACGCCAACCACTCAAATTACTCAATGGAGGGGGCACAAAATATAAAAAGGATCAAACTCGTCTGTTTAGACATGTACGCAATCGACATTGGAAATGTTGGAAACATTCCGGGTTAAAATCGCTCAAGACTCTCTGACCCGGTGTTGCGTCGCTGTGTCGCGTCTTTTGCCAATTGTCCAATGCCAGATGTGGGATTTCGCCCATTTAGCTCCGACGCAATCGCTAGCGCGTCGCACGTCATCCGCCTCAACCAAGACCAAGATGCAGAAAGCTCATCGACAAAGAGCACAGGATCGCCCATGAAGGAAACGGGTCCAGCGTAAGAGGTAAGACTCGCGGGTTCGTGGCGTCTTTCTTTGCAGTCTATTGGAACTGCGGGCCATACCCGGGATGCTGTCCATACTCGGAAAGACGCATCTTGAGCTAGTATTTTGTCATATTTCTCGTAAGATTAGAAAATGGGAACAACGTTGGGCTAACCATCCATGCCACGCCATGTAACTCTCACCCGCGCATGAGCTTCTTCTTCTCGACATTCTTAGTCCTCCCCCCCCCCTGCAGAGTCCTCTCCAAACCCCTCAGCTGAAGCTCCGGTGTAGGAAGAAACTCGTGCCATGAGAATGCAAGCAGAACGGTTGGGTTGGCGCTTGCGTCGGTTCGCTAGCAATGATCGACGAGCGGCCGAGCGTACAGGGAAAAGGAGCGACGAGTTGCTCGCCCTACGGTTGCACTAGGGGTTTGGAGGGATAGCTCTAGATGGGGAGTATGGCTTGATTTGGCCTTCGCTCTCCATTGACCCGGCATAACGACATTTTCCTTTCATGCTGCGTCATGTATCTTGTGCACCCTAGTGGCTTGAAGCTGAGCTGCAGCAACGCGACAAAGTGTCGTGGCCCGCATCAAGACTTGGAGATATAATGCGGTCGTCGTCACTCGCTATCTCGAGAGAAGAAATCTCGCTTCTCATCCCAGGCCATTCGGTCATTCATAAATCTCTTCAATCTATATCCATTCCTTACCGGACATACCTCCCCTTCCGCTCCCCCTCTCCTCCCGTCATCAGACACTGCCCAACATGGCTTCTAACGACGTCGTACACGCCGAAACCGACCCCGCTGTCTATGACGAGTACCGCGAGAAGTGGTCTGCTCTCCCCGAGGATGAGGCTGGCTGGCTCCAGCGCGCCAAGGATGTCGGCGCCGTCCTCGATGTCGATGCTGCCCAGCGTGAGAGGGAGAAGAAGTCCCCCAGGGCGGAGGTTGCGTTGCTGAAGCATTCCGGTCTCACCAAGATCCTTGGTCCTAAGAAGTATGGCGGCGGTGAGCAGCCATTGAGCTTGGGATACAAGGTCGTTCGCGAGGTTGCCAAGTCGGATGGGTAGGCGAACTTCTATTCAGTACTTCGAGATTCCCTTGTATCGTCCTGACTAACCAAGGATGTAGATCCATTGGTATGCTTCTCGGCTACCATCTCCTCTGGTCTCTCACTGGAAACATTGTCGGTAGCGCCGAGCAAGCCGACCGTCTCCAGGAGCTCATCATTACCAACAACTACTTCCTCGGAGGTGCTGTCAACCCTCGCGACGGCGATCTCAAGATCACCGAGGAAGGGGACAACATCGTCTTCAACGGCTTCAAGAACTTCAGCACCGGCGGTGTCATCTCCGATCTGACGGTATTGGAGGGTGTCTTGGAGGGCACCGAGAACCACATCTTTGCCGTCGTCAAGTCCGACCAGCTCCAGTTCCAGCGCAACTGGAACAACATCGGCGTGAGGCTTAGCGAGTCCGGAAGCGTCAAGATCGAGAACGTCAAGGCGCCCTGGACTGATGCTCTCGGATGGAATGTTGAGAAGAAGGAGCCCGACCTCTCTATTCTTGGCATCCCCTGGGCCACCCTCTTGCTCCCCGCGTTAGCTCATCCGCCCCCCACCGTTCTACTTCCGGACGCCGCTAATATCCAGTCAGTATCCAGCTCATCTTCTCCAACCTCTACCTTGGCATTGCCCAGGGTGCAGTAACCACTGCTGCCAAGTATACCAACAGCACCACTCGCCCGTGGCCCTATGGCGGTGATGTATGTCTTTCCCTTCTTCCCTCCCCATGCTTCCTCGTATATCTAACACCCTGTCTAGAACAAGGAAAAGGCCACGGATGAGTTCTACATCCTCAGCAACTACGGCAACTGGCATGCCCACCTCCGCGCCGCCGAAGCGCTCGCCAACGTCGCCGGCCAAGAGATCGACGTCTTCTATAAGAAGGGCACTCCTGACAGGACCAAGGTTACCGCTGCCGACCGCGGAGAGCTTGCCGAGACCATCGCTAGCCTCAAGGTCGTGACTACGGACACCGGCCTGCGCGTCACTAACGGCGTCTTCGAGGTCACCGGCGCTAGGGCCACGTCTTTCAGGGTCAACCTCGACCGATTCTGGAGGGATATCAGGACGCATTCTCTGCATGATCCTGTTGCGTACAAGAATAGGGAGTTGGGCAGGTACCAGCTCCTCGGTGAGATTCCTGAGCCTACCTGGTATACTTAGATGGCGTGCGATGGTTGAGGCTAGCCTAATAATCTGTTGTGCTGGGATAGCACGTAGTTCACTCATATTAGCACTGATACCAAGAAAAAAAATAAAACGAAAAATGTAAACTGAAGCGTGCAATTAGCGACATCTGAAACGATAACTCAACTACCCTGACGGTGGAGCACATACCCGTAGCAAGACCACGCCAACTGTACTGCCTCCTGAGCTAGGAGCTAACAGTGGAAAGCGCCAGATGGAGGTCAACTCGTATTTCCAAGGTTCCGGGATAGAATATTTAAGTCCTCGCTTCTTTTCTTCACTTCTACGTAAAGAAAATAAGATCCACAGTTCCAATAGTTTGGTTATTATCAGAGAGAGTTTAGTGTATTATTTTGAGCGTCTGTTTTTAACTCATCTTTAAATTGCAATAATACCATTTCTTTATCGTTCCCTTCGCCCCTAGGAGAATTAGGATACCATCTATTTCTTATATTTTATGTAACTTACATGCCTTATATCCTATAATGGCGCAGAATGTACCCATCATGGGATGGCACAAACTTTGATGGTTCCGAGAACTCAGCCGTTATTAAACTCCTCTGAAAATTCCAACCATAAACAACCAGCAGCGCAAGCGACGAGTAGATCTGTCTTACTTGGTTAGGAACACGCAGCATGTAGGGGCTCTTGGTGGGTCTGAATACATACGAAGGCACATCCATGACCACTGGGTTCGCCAGCAGCAGGGCCGCGACTGTCCTCGTTCGTGGAAAAGTTGAGTCGTTGCTCCCGATATTTCTGTACGTTCCAGCGGTTGCTGCGAGATATCTCCCGAATTTTGCGCTGGTCCAAACTCGCTTTCGGCTTTCTTCTCGTCTGTCGGCCCTTCGGGCATCATGTCAATCTTCTTCGAACCATCTGTTTCGATTACACTATCGATCAAATCCAGCAGTGCGCGGCTGTTTGGAAACTTCCATAATGTGAAAAAGGTCCCAAGTGACATGCCTTGTGGCAGGTCTTCATCCGCGATGGATCCCTCTTTGAGTCCTCGTAAGTATGCCACCGCGGGAGCAACTGTCATTGAATTCATAATTCCTTGCATTAAGATCATGTGTAGGCCCTTTCGCAGTTGGAATCTAACTCGCGGGTCCGCTCCGTTTCTCATCCAAAGCTCCAGGACCTTCGACGAAGCTCTGGGTTCCGCAGATCGGAGGGTCTTCATGAGAACTGCATGCCACAACGGCTTACCGGCAAAGTGAACACCCTCAGGGAATACTGCACTTCCAGGGAAGCCGTGGCGGAAGATTTTTTTCATGACATCAAGGCACGCATTTGGTTCCGTTTCGCGTTTAATGGCCCTGGACATGATGAGAAAAAGACGGGTTTCGAGGTCGGAGACTCTCCTACCTCGGAAGGCCCAGTCGATAAATTCCTCATAACCGACAAAGACGCTGAGGTCTAGCAGACACAACGGTTGCTCTCGAGTGGGGTCTCCTTGGATTCCAATACGGCCAAAGCCACACGTTTCATACTGGGTTTGGTCGATGGAAAGCAGGATGCGAAAGATCTCTTCACTTCTGTCCTCAAACCTCATCTGCCTTAGTCTGTGAAGAAACCCGCGAAGAAACGAGCTTGCATCGGAGAATGAGATGAAGTGGAGTTCGTCGTGCTCAAGCTCATTGAAGCCATTGTGGACTCCATTGGCACCATTGTCGATTCCGCTCACACCATTGACGACGGAAAGAATACGGCTGATCAATGGCGACGATTGCGCTGGCGTGGAGTTCATTGCCGCCTCCCACTGTACGTCCATTCGGTACGCCCATGCCATGGCCAGAGTGATCTGATGATCGTCTAATTGACGGGGTGGAGCCGCCTGGCGCTTCAGATATTCTTCAAGAACTTCTGGAATGGATCTGTGTATGAACTTGACGGCCGATTCGTCCGTAACTTCAATTAGCCCGTTACATCGGGACAGGACAGCGATTTCAATAGTTTTCGGCACCTCATCGTCGGACATATTAATATCCGGAAACCATTTGTGAAATTCCAAGTCCGCTATACCCAGCTGTGCACTGATCTGTTTTCTCGCATCCCCTGCAGCCAGTATGGAGAAACAACCAAATGGCATCAAATAAAACTCTTCATTTCTCGGACCGGCGCTATCCACGTTGTCAGACCAGAAGGTGTCGAAGGCCGCGTGGCCCGGATCTCGGCCTTCCGGGGAGAGAAGAATCCCGTACGACCGTAAGATGGTCGCTAGGAGTATGTCGACACTTCCTCGGTATCCGTCATCGATACTGTCGAGGATTTGAGTCAAGAGAGCTTGTAAGTCCGAAGGCGTTCTGGCCACCTGTGCCCGAAGATGCGGGATGGGAATCAACGCATTTAGACCGCGCTCTAGAGACTTCAGAACTAGAGCAACCCAAAGGAAAACACCCTCGGCAGCCCGTAGGATGTCCTGCACGAGCCCCTCGCCTTCGCTATCCCCTTGCTCCTTCCGCTTCCTGAAAGCTCTATGCTCTTCAAGCCTGTCCCTGATAAATCGCTCAATGTCTCGCTCCGTCAATCGGTGGAGGGCGATCCTTTGGTTGCTATCAAACCTTCCTACAAATGGTTCCTGGACCCTGCTAGAAACACATAGTTTGACGTTGCCATTCGAGTTTTCCGTCCACTGCAGCAGCTTGTCGACCAGCTGCCCATGACTCTCGTTGACGCCGCTATCATCGAACTCGTCTAACCCGTCGACGAAGAAGCAAATACAAATTCTTCCCAGTGAGGGGCTCTGCTAGGCGCCACGTACTGAGTCCGGATTGTAATCAACAAATTAAGCCTTTTGCGAGAGAAGTCTAACTCGCGCTGCAGCCGCTGGATATCGTTAGTCTTACCCAGAGATTTTAACGTCGCCCGGCCAGCCGAGAAGACATTCCCTCGCTTCCTCGGCCGACACTCGTCTAAGATGCGTCGTAGCTCGTCGCATTGTCCAACAATGCGCGAGGTTAAGTTGCGGATCTCGGAGTCGAAACCAGGAGATTGAAGCTGAGCTTGGTGATCTCTCAGGTGACCGACCACGTCTGCGATGCCATCCGCCTCACGTTCGACTGTCTTGTGGGCGTTTGGGAGGCCGTCGACCGAGTTGTAGACTTCGATTACCGCTGTGCCGCACTTGATGGCAGTTTCGACAAGCTGAATAATGTTGCAAGCCAAAGATAAGCCACTAACGGGATCCATCGCGGGAGTGAGGCAAATTGGCCATGATGTTTGTTTGAGCAAAGCTGACTGCAGCTGAGATGTATTGCTTGCCTGTTGCGCCATACACTCGCCCTGGATTGGGCATCGTGGCAGCTGAGTTGATGCCTGAGGACAGAACAACCGACATCAGCCAAGCTGCTGCATGAGCCTAGAAAATCATATCGTACTCTTGAACTTCATCACAGTTCTTTTGGTAATATCTCATCTTATATGTATATAACTCTCTATTCTATAGGTGAAGAAAACCTTACATCTCCCTCAGTCAGAACCCAATAAGTACACACGCCGGCTATATTGGACCAGAAGCTGGGAAATGCCTCTTCGTGCCACGGATATCAAGGCGAATTTTAATGGTTTTCCTTCAGGATGTTCCATCTTGGGGATGTTTTCTTGACCGTGGTCCTCCTTACACTGTGCTTGGCCTATTTAAGGTCTCTGCTGAAGATTACTTCGATACACAGGTAGCGGAAGAAAAGCCTAATACTAAATTTCAAAGAAGCGCTTCACAAAAGTGATGGGGAAGTGCGGACATGAAGTGTGCCGGTTCGCACCAGCCGTATGCATTTTCGGGGAGGCCTAAAGAGAGTTCGGACTTATCCCTTAATGATAGTATTTGAATTAGGTAGCGTTAATTGTAGGCGATTAGGGATAACCTGGGCGGTAGGTGTCACGGATGCTTGACTGAGTAGCGCAGAAAGTAGGATGGACCTAGATAAGCTATAAAATACCTATGCTAAAAGAGCGTGATGGCTTATGGCATATACTCCTCGGTGGAGGTAATATCTCCTCTTCTCGGTCCAAAATGCGCATCCCTGTGCGGAGGGAGTCTAGCTCACAGTGAAGGTGAAACAAATCGGGCGAGTGGCCTCATCACAGTCTGTGCCAGCATGGACAAACCCGCCCCCAGGACAGTTCAAGTTAGCGGAGCTCGCTGCAAACGCAATGATCGCGTTAAATCTGTCGCTGCAGTCGGTGTTTCTAACGGGCGTAAACACGTTCGTGGCGTTCTGGCAGGACCTGGTTTCGTATTGAAAGTCGACCTTCAGATTTCCTGGCAGCTGAGCTTGCACCTTGATGGGGCCACCCGGAAGAGGCAGGGGGCTATTTGCCGTATCGTTAGATGGGGTAAAGGAATAGGAAGGAGGAGGAATATGCCAGCTTACACGAAGGACACGGTGTTGGGTGGGAAAAAAATATCGCAGACCCGCTGTGCGAGCGCTTGCACATTCGGGGAGGCGATGACCGGAGTAGCGAAAGCGCCGCCCGGGCATTCAATGCGGCGGAGAAGGGCCTTTTTTTTTCAAGTTAGTGATCCATCATATGTCTAAGTCGTGATGACTTGGATTCACATTAAGGTCCCTGGCAAGGAGAGCAGCACTGGAATTGCCGCCCGATTCATCAACCACGACTATGCCCGTGGTGACGTTGGACACTGAGATGATCGGAGCACTTTCGATGGCTTCTTCGGAGAGGGTGGTGTTCGTTGCCTCATCCTGGGCGAAGATGCCGGATCCAAGGAGTGCAATGGAAGCTAGGGCTACAAAAGGATGCATTGTGGTTGATGTCGATGTTTGATTCAAACAAGAGTAGCTGTTAGAGGTGAGGTGATGAGATTCAGATCAAGGTTGAATTGTTGGAGTTGATGATGAAGAGATCTTTGGTGTAGAAATCCCCCCTTCCACGATGCACGACCTGGATATATATAATGGGCGACATTTGCCTAAAACGCGCGTCGAAACCTACCATATGAAATTGGGTGGTATGTTTTCGAAGTTGTCTTATTTCCCTTTCTCGGATATCCGATTCCGAAAGTAAGCCTCGTGGGTGTATCTGTTGGTTACGGGACGCCACTGAATTTTTGTTTGTGAGGCGGTGTCTTCCAGCTTGGCTTGGGAGACATCCCGATGGCGCCGCGTCACCAAGCTCTAGACTGTACAAACTAGCATATTCTCGAGTATGAGTGCATGTGAAAATGAGGTATGGAAACCAACTTTGAGTACCCCCCGCCCAGGATGGTTTGCATTATACTCTATTCACCTCGATACGTCAATCCTAAGCAACGGCGCTGCCAGTGTGGCATGACGTTTGGGAATTGTCTTGATCGTGAGTACCGAGGATATAACTTACGAGTTTCCAGTCATGACTTACCTGTTAACGATGTGAGCGTTGAAGAGCTTTCGCGGACTGGTCCGAAACATCCTCAACTGCGCGTATAATGACAAAGCGTGTAAGCAAGAAAGCCATGTTGGGACCTCGATAGGATGTACGATTGATAGTTTCGTCGGAATGCCGACGGAACTATTACTTAGTCAGAGGGAAGGACAGTCGTCATTACATAGTACAATTTCCTTGTTGGCGAGGGCCATAGGAAGCCAATATTACCTGGCGTTTCGCTATTTCAGTGCCACCGCTCATCACGAATGCACCGGACTTGTTTGAATTCGTTACCCCAGGCAGAATTCGAGAGAACAAGTTATTTTTGACACGGTTAGAGGTCCGTTTAACGCAACTATTGTTCGACATGATCTTGGATTCTGGACATACATCAGTGTCTGGAACATCTCCAGTAAGGCGGCCGAAACAAGCTCGTAATTGTCTGGCCCCAAATCGCCGAATGCTTGTTGAATAATATTCGTAAGTTCGCTAACCATTCGCATTTTCTTTCCGTGAACCAGTAGGAAGCTTAACCGCAACATCTCCGTTTCAGAGTCTCCGGGTGTCTCGGCATGTCTTTCATTTATTCTTCATGACATCTATGTAGCTCCCAGCCCCTCCTGTCACTTTCACTTTCCAGCCGCGAAATGGGACCCTAGTAAGCCTGGAGTTCCTTTTCACGTTTGGAGATATCTTTCGAAGTTGGCAAATTGGAAGTTGGGAGTTCCAAGCACCCCCCCGCCAAGGTTTCGGCCTCTTTGAGCTCGCTTTCAAGCCTGCGGAGGTGTGTGATGAGTGGCCTGAATTTCGACTCATCAAGGCGCTTCGTTCGACAGATGGATCAGCTTCCAGTGATACTCGTTAATTATTCTTAATTATTCCTGCAACTTGACCTCCTACGTCACCAGTCTCTGGTTACGGATGATATCCGAGGTCGAGGACGAAGGAAGCATTTACGTACTAAGCTTGCCCTCGAATGTGTGTGAAAGATGTCCGTCCCAACTCCAAAATCCACCATATTCACATTTCCGGGCCTGGTCATCAAGAACTGCAATTGCTTTTTAGTGACCTTAGTAGCTCTGGCTTTGCGTTGAACAAGATGAGCGAGGCCACGGTTTTTAGGTCCCGAGTCCCCGTGTCTATCTATAACGTACAGTAGAGCCTCGCTTGTCGAGATGTGGAGAACCGATATCTATCCGCCTCTCGTGCTACATGATCGAGGAGTTAGATATAAAATATCTATATTTATCCTGGGTAATAACAAGACAAGGCTAGAAACTTAGGGGACGACGAGCATTGGGCATGTTCTAAAATTAGAACATCGCTTCCCCACCCTATCCCGAAGAGCTTCCCCTCCAATCCCCACTTCATCTCATCGCGCTCCAACTTGACCAATGACAAGGTACGGGAACTGTGGTAACGACTGTCGTCAGTGTTGGACCGCATCTATACAGACTAAGCTATGTTTCGTTTTATGGACCTCCCTTCAGAGATTGGTCTCGAAGTCGTGACGGCGTCGGTGAATAAGAGATTTCAGGCGGGCACTGAGATTGAGATTAGTTTGCGTAAGAATTTCACCAGCCCAAGGAAACCGTATTTGAGTGGATCTAAAAGAGGCCTTAGAAATTATTTTCCCACCATGTACTCGAAGCCATCCTGGAAACAGACCATATCCACAACTTCGCGAGTTCGGGCGCACTTACCAAGTCGTTACCGTCCTATTCCCTGGACGTTCCATATCACGAAAGCTTCTTCAAACTATGGCAAAGGTATCAGGCGAAGAGAGTGCTGGACCCAAGGCGGCCTCCGACCCAATTTAGCGTCTTCGTGACCGAATCGGCCAGGCGATATTGTAAGGAAGCTGGCCTATCGGATGTGCACTCTTACGAAACAGTGGTCGAAGGTTTATGCGACTGGGGGATGCTCCAGGTAAGGGACCTTGACTGGATGCTACGGCCTTCCATACCGGGCATGCCACCGACGAAGTTCAGCCTTACCAGGGGTGCGTTTGCCGCAGCATGCCGCTTCAACAACGCGGCAGCCGCTAATAGTCTTGTGGCTCACTGCATTCATGATCCCCAATCTAATAGGTCTATGATGGATCATATTCCTTGGGGTTCAGCTTGGCGATATTTTGAACACACGGCTCAGCTGGTTATGCTCTACGGCAGTATCGACGTCTTCGAAACTGTTTACGATGCCTTCCCTGAGGATAAATATGAGCAACCGATAACGCAATACCTGAGGGGTTGTTCGAGAAGCGCCCTCCCCGAAGTTTGAGGGCCATTTGGGAAGTACTCCCGCTAGGCGCGTACGACCCAGACAATTTCTGGGTAATCACAGTGAGGTCGCTAGGCAAGATGTATCTCTCGGGAAAATCCTGATCTTGTTGAGCTTTACCGAGACATGCCATTTGAGAAATCGGGCCGTGAACCACCTCCTCGAACCACAGGCAAGGGAAAAGGATGCTGGGGCCTCTATATAGCTCCCGAGCTGACCTGCAACTACATTGTGCGAAATGCTGCGTTCCATGGACACATTCGGATGCTTGAGTATCTTTTCAACCTTGGATTCGATGTCAACTTTGAGTCAACAGCCTCGGCGAGAAGCCCCCTCGCCACAGTCGCAGGTGCTTTCCAGACCGCTGCAGTGAAATGGCTACTCCAACATGATGCGCCTGTTAATGATGGGTGGGCGTTGACAGAGGCTGCTAAGGCTAGCAGCTTGGAAATAGTTTGCATGTTGGTTTCCTATGGCGCGGATGTTCGAGTTGGGTCTCCACTTCCTATTGTTTCTGCCGTGAAGATAGAGCACACGGGCTATGGTAGATTACTTTCAAAAGCGCGGTGCGCTGGCTCAGGGGGCAAGGGAGGAAGCTCTCAACGAAGCCCGGGACCTTGGCCTGGAAAGTATGGTGGAGCTCATCGAACCCTACTCTTAATGTGCGTAGTCCTCGGGTATTCCTCGAGGGACTACCACTAGCCAAAGATAGCCCAGGACAATGTCATTATAGTCGCCCTCCAATGATGTTATTGATCTGATATTCTACTGAACATGCGAGCCGGCGCGAACCATGAATGAGAAACAGTCGTCTCCCTACGATCATTTATTCGACTGCGACAGTCTGAAATAATGGGGGGGCTTTGGGTAGGGCGATCCTCCGTGACTGTGCCAGGCCGGGGTTGCGGGGACGGGGGGTCAATGGTGACATGTTACAGGCATAAAAGTGTTGGGTGAGGCGAAGCAAGCGTTTATAGAGCGAGGAGAAAATTTGACGGGATAGGGATGAGCAAGCGCGGGAAGGTCTAGCCATATATAAATAGAGACGGGCATAAGAATCAGCTAGTGACACACTGGCCAAGCTCGATCGTCTGTCGTTATATAACAAAGTGTAAAAATAGGGAGGACGGCAGCCCAAGCCCGGCGCATACACATTTCAGGCGCCCTCAACGGTGATACACAACCACATCTGCAAACCCCACTTCGGTGTCTCTACCACTTCTATGAACCTCTCCTTCCACCTGACATCTCTTCGTCGTTGTACCGCATTCTGTCAACTAAACTCTTAGTACCCACGCGCTCGATATCGACTATTGACAAAAAAGATATGGCGGAAGTCGTTGGGGTCGTTTCAGCCGGCGTGGGAATAGTCGCGTTCACCCACCAAGTGACATGTCACATCACCACGCTGCGGGCAAACCGAAGGTTCAACAAGACCAGAGGTGGAAGGGAACTCCGCTCGTCAAGGACCTCGACGATCTCCGCGATGTTGCGTCCCTACTAAGTCCGTACCGCGACATGGTCAACACAATATTCCCCTCGTGTGAGGAGGCTCTACAGGAAATCGATGTCCTTGTCAAAGAAATATCTGAGCGACTCGAAGAGAACCAGCAGAGCGGCTGGGATCGTGTGAGATCTAGCTTTTCCGGCGAGCTTAAAGAGGCTATCGAGAGTGCACAGAAAAAGGTTCGTCATGTTATGTCGAAACTCATGCTTTATTCGTCGCTCGTCACATTAGCCCAGACTCGGTCATGCAGTCTTTTGGACACAACTCGGATGCTGGAACCGCCCACTTCTCAACAAGACTCCTCCGGAGTCGTGGATCTCGCTCTAGAAACAACTGGTAAACCGTCTGAGAACCCTGGAATTCTTCAAGTCGGAGATGATCCGAGGTCGTGTGGTGGTGTCGTGCAGTCACAGAAAAGCCAGATAGCACCCCGGATCAAGCTTCCCTCTTGCGGCCTTCGGCTATGTCAGTGCTCCTGTCATCGCACTCAACGGCGATATGGCTCGTTCTGGAACCTTGAATATTCACCACTGTCCGCTCTCCTCGGCGCGTGCGACAATCCGATATGCTCATCGAAGAGGACTCTCTTGACTGCACGAGTATCTTTATTCA